AGAGCGGCGGCGGTGCCGAGTAGCGGGTGGCAGTGGCAGCCACCGCATGCAAATTCCCCTCCTCTCCCTCCCCTGTGTCCAGCTGGCCGGAAATTCTGGTTAATAGAGTATTCCCGCTAGCAGAATGTCGGTTAACACAGCTTCTACTGTATCACATCAGTCTGGCATATAAAAATAAATTAAAGGCCTCTTCCTTCAGCTCCACCCCTAATTACTATCAAGGATAAGTGTAAAAAACACTTTTGGAATGAATAGGGAGGCAAAACCATGTTTGAACCTGATATGAATTGTGGTCTTCATAAGTGAAAAAGAATATTGCCCCATTGATCCATGTACTTCTCTCTGGGTAAAAAGCAGAGTATTTCAAGAGCCAAATTATTAGTAGTCTCTTATTATTCATCACACCATATTTTGTTCTTTATGATGGCAGGAAATTATTGAAAAAAGTTTTTATCCCTTCCTCTGCCTGTCTGTAAATACCTTACAGATGCCCAGCTTTATCTTGTTTCTGTTGGCATCCATCTCCTCCCAGACATCTTTTTCCTGAAGACGTTGATGTCCAGGTGAGCCAGGTAGCTTTTCAGGTGAAACTCCAACAGGGATACCATTCTCTCCATCACTGAGCTGCTCATCAGGAAACACCTCATCTGTATTCTCTCGCAGCAGGTCTCCTGGGATAGGCGTGGCATTGGCAATTCTACAAAAGACATGAGAAGTAATTTCAAAGTAATGCTATAGAAATTGCTGAGAGATTCCCATATGAAGTAAGATTCCTATATTGTTAAAGCACTGATATTAATATCAAAGCTTCCAAATAAAATACATATTTCTCTAAAAAGCAAAGTCCTTCAAACTTCTTTAAAGTCCTTTAGACAAGCCAGATTTGAAGTTAAAGGATTTTACAATCCTAGTAACTACATCATTAGCATAAAAATGCACATGTAAACTAAAAAAGAAGAATGAAAAAAGAAAGCACTTCAAAAAATTTTTTTCCACTGACTTTGGAGTTATCTTCAAAATCTAGGAATCACTACCTCCAGAGAGAAATTCTGAAGATCACATGTGCTGTATCAGACATCATATCTAACTATTTTTGTTGAACTTGCCAAAGTGCAATTCTTTCCATCTTCAGACCTCTGAGAGATCTGCAAACTTTGTTCAAATAAAACTACTATATTAGTGAAATGTAGGCCCTTCTGGAATGAAATGCATTCATTTTAAATTAAATGCAAAAATGGAATTATTTTTGTCTCAATACATTAGTTTCTAGTATCTGGAAATGTAATTGCCTCCTTAGTAGTTTTCTATAATATGGATGAAATAAAAAGCTCTCTACAAAGTCTCTACTGCTGAAAACTACTCTGAACACATTTAATATATCTGTCCCAGGTTGTTATGAGGATTACTTTCCAAAGTGACAGTTTTGTGCTTTCCTACTTATTAGGAAACATTGAAATGAGTTGAGAAAATAAACATTCCATGAAAGAGTGGTTTTATTTTTCCCAGTTTCTACTCTACTGCATTATTTCTATCAGATTCACATTTTAACCACAGGTTTAAACATAGTTTGACATATACAACCTCATGATTACGGAGCAAAAGAGCAGAGTAGAAATTTTTTTTTTTTTTTTTTTAAGTATTATACACACACTCTTTTTCTGTCTTTCCTAATCATAACATCTTTGTTAGCTATTTTACAGGTAGCTGTTTAATAAACACAGAATGTAAAAGGATAGTCCATTTCATAATCATATCTATTGTTAAACATTTTCATTAGCTGTTCTGCCAGTAACAGTTTAGCATTATATATACTCATTTATTTTTGCATTGTTGTTTAAAATGAAGCTAAAATATGTCACTTTTGTAAATCCTTTTCAATATCAGATTCTTATTCCATGAGATTCAAACACTCTGAATTACTATTTCTTTAAAAATAAAGATTCTTAATAATTTTTTTTCAGAAACCCTAAATGTTTACTATTGGTCTTAAATTGTTACACATGGTTTGTTTGTCTAAATTAGAGAATTTAAATTTTTCTCCAAATTTAAGCTGATTGCATGTGGCAGACCAGATCCATCTGTGTATGTTAAATCAGGTAGGAGTGGGGTAGGGAAACAGAACTGATTTTACAAAACAATAAGGCATCTATTTAAAAAGAGAACAATTTACTCCACTGTTGTTAAAAATCTAAAAAATGTTCTTTCCCTTTTATTCAACTAATAAAAAAAGTTTTTATTATCAATGCCATTCAACACTTCACCACAGAATTTCAAGATATTGTGAACTGTAAAGAATGTAATAATTTAAATGTTTAAGGACTGGAATCTATGGCTGCCTATGCATGTGCTTGTTGGTGTTCTAATTAGAACACACTGGAGCAGACTCAATAGAGACTGCATTCTAATTAGAACGGCCCAGCGTTGCCTCACCGTCATGCGTCTTAAGACCCTGCACATTTTAAAATGGCTGCAGGGGCACTTTATCTAAACCTCATCACATGAACTTAAAGCATCGCACGGCCGTTTTAAAGTGTGCAGGGGCTCAATATGTATGATGGTGAGCCATTTTCATTAGAGCAGCTGTCCAGGAACCACTCTAATTAAAACATCCCCCCACCCACCTCCACCCGAGCACATGTATAAACAGCCTACATTCTCTACATGTACACTTGAAAATTGATGTTGAGTACATATTTCCCCTCAGTTGATGACAGGACAATGTCCTTTTCTTCCATGCATTACCGTGGGTACTTTGTATTGCCATTAGCTCTTGTGAAGGAAACATGAAATTCTGAACTTCTAGAATTATAAAACCTAAATTTTAAATAAAACTTCTAATGAATCTTCCAGTTCATATTGTTCTGTTTTCCCCTCTTACAAAGCCTTGGCAGGTCAATGATTCTCAAGCATTTGTTTTAAAATGTATGTAGCTACTATTTTATAGTTTAATCCTATTTCATTTTTATGTGGCATAAACAGGATGTACGTAGCCATATAACTGCAAATTTTTGTACACAACTTGAATTCTATTTCCACCTGTGATGAAACAGCAAAGGTGTAATTAGCAAGTTTTGCACCTTGAGCAAAACTCTGTTGGGGAGAAGAAAAAAAGGGATGGCAAGCCCTGGGTAAAAAAAAAAAACCCTGCTGGGCAGAGGCGGGAGTTCAGATGAGACCTAGGCTAAATCCTGCTGGGCGGGGCGAGTGAGGGAGGGGGGAGGAGGCAGGGTTAATGATACCTGCCCAGGAAACTCAAAGTCCCAAACTGCTGTTGTCGTGTAGCAATCAGTCTGTCCCTGGCTATTGCTGTTGCTGGGATGATATAATTGGGCATGGTCCTGCTTTGAGCAGGGGGCTGGACTAGATGACCTCCTGAAGTCTCTTCTAACCCAGATTTTATATGATTCTATACCAGTGGCATGGAGTCCCTGCACCCAGCTGCTGTTGCAATATCTGTGATGTGGGGCTCCTGCTGTCACAACTGCATGGACTTTCTAGGGAGCTGTCATTCTGGCACCCCCTCTAAGTGGGTGCCCAGGGTTTGTAACTCACGTGCCCGGCCAAAGTTATACTACTGTGGAATAGGTTTGCCTAGGTATGTGTGTACCTGCTGGAAGCAGAACAAATGACAAATCTCCCACATTTTAACCCAATAGTCTAGTGGCAAGGGTACCTGCCCAAGGAGTGAAATCCAGGTTTTAGGTCCTAGAGAGGATTTGAACCTGCATCTTGAAGAAGAGGGCTAGAGAGTGCTCTGGGTTATGTCTAGCTCAGTATTTCCCAAACCTTATGGGTTTACACCCCACCACAACGTCAGCCACTTCTTGCTCCTCTACTGAAGCCACCATTGCTTTTTCTGCCACTGATTTCCCTCCCTGGTAGCAATCAGCAGCAAGAGGAATCAGTGGTATGAGAAGTGGTAGCAGCCACTGAAATGGGGAGGGGGGAGGGGGGGGAGAGGGGTTGAAATAAAGAGGTACCACCAACTGTTGTCATGATTTGAATTCATCCCCTTACAAACCTTTCACATACTGACTTTTTTTTACCTAGGAAGTCTCAATATTCACCCTAAGAATGGAGACCTAGCATTTCGAGCATTACTCAATCTCCTGGTGCAGCAGATGTAACAACTTAAAAATTACTATCCTCAAGTACTATACAACTGTGTTTGAGCTCAACATAAGAAATACTGGTAACAAACCCAATTGCAGCCGGAGTCAGACGAGTATGTAACTGAGGCGTAGTTGAAGTTGTTGTTGTTGTCAAAGAACCATCAGTCCCACTCTTCTCCCAATCAAAAGGGTCACTTTCAATAACCCCAAAGGTTTTCATGCTATTGTCAAACACAGACATGAGAAGCTGAAGACAAAGAAAAGAGTTAATCAACCTTTTCTTGGAATAAGAGGAAGACAAAACATTCCAGACTCATTATCCTCTAAGACTTAAACTGACAATGAAATTACTTATATACACTTGCTGCATCACAAATGCTCATAATTGTGACAGAGCATTGTGCAATAGTTCTATTTACCTCGGAAACAATGACCTGGCTCTCTGCAACGCTCTTTGTAGAACACTGTAAACACTGTTACCACTTAACAACTGCTTCTGTATAGATCCGAACGACCTCAACTGTGTTGTGCCCTTTGATAATTTCAAACATTGGAACATAACTTTTTGGAAGCACAATGCCTATGAGGTGTTTTGAAAGCGTTATAAGGAGGTGGTGGATAGAGAGGACCTCTGTGGGTTAAGGCTTGAAATCAGTCAAAGAGAGAAGGAGAGAGTTTTATTTCTTGAGATGTATACCAATATGTTGGAAGAGGAGGACACCATGAGGTGGCTGGAGCAATGAGTGCAGAAGGTGCTGTTCGTGGAGTGTGTGCTGGACTGTTGGAAGATATGGACTGCGGTGTGGAGGGCAAGAGCTGCATTAGAAGAAAAGCTGGGAAATCTAGGGGGAGTACAACACAGATGCTATGTAACTTATTATGGTCAGCCTAAGCGCTGTAGCCGTTGTGGTCTGGAAGCCCACCTGGCCACATTTTGTAGCCTGACAATTTGCTACAGGTGTGGCGGGGCGGGTCACAAAGCAAATATGTGCAAGGTGGTCTTGAAGTGCAGTCTTTGGGGGGAAAGGCATGTAAGGAGGCAATGCCCAAACTATTATGCAAATCAAGCAAGGGAGCAGAGTGAAAGGGAGGAGGGAATGAGGAGGAGAAGGGAGAGGAAAGTTTAAGCAAGTCCAAAATGGAGGTATTTAGAACTGAGCCGCTGAGGGCGGGGGAGCAACTAGACAGTATAAAACCTAAATTACATAATTGAAGCAGCGAGGTGCAATCTGAGGTGGAGGGAAGAGGAACAAATGGAGGAGGAAGTGCCACGTGTAAAAAACATGGGCGACTGCCTCCTGAGTTTGGGGGGGGGCACCAGCAGCTGATCGCCGACTGGGGGGGAGGTCCCCCAATGGCCGATCACTGACTCCAGAAGTGCCAGCAGAAGTGCTGCCGATGCTTCTCTCGGTGTCCCCACACCCTGGCCGGTGCCAATCTCAGGGAGGGGCACCGCCTGGCACTTCTCTCGGTGCCCTCACTCCCTGGCCAGCGCCA